TGACAGCTAGGAACAAGAAGTGGAATCTTAAAAAGATTCGAAACGCCATGATGGAGGACAAAAAAAAAAAAAAAAAAAAAAAAAAAAAAAAAAAAAAAAAAAAAAAAAAAAAAAAATGGAGCAATTGTGAGCTCGTTAAAACCCCCAAATTGAGGAAAAATCATGTCAAGAAAAAAGTGTACAATCATTAGACACTTCATACTTTGATATTGCACACCTTCAAGGCAATTAAGTTTACATGGCTTCTTAACTAATACAAAAACCAACAAAATGAGTGTGTAAAATCACCAAAATTTGTAGTACTAATTAGTCTACAAATTCTTTAGCGCCTAACATCATATATTTCCTTATCACATCATCATCAAAACAACCCCAAGACGAACATGTGTTTTGTTTTATCAATGATCTTTAATATATATATGATGAAGCAACTCAGGTTCCTTTGTATTTTTAGCCACTTCCCCAGCCTTGGTTTCTGCTACATCCATTTCTTGGCTTCAATTTCCATGTTGTTGCAGAGGCCTAAGGTTGCTTGCAACTTCCACATGAGGTCAATTCAAAAGCAAGTCCGATGTTTCAAGGGTCTGGACAATACCAAACATGCTTTTGAAAGAATCTTATTTGAAGGTTAATGGTTTATATATGTGTGGCTATTTTTCTGGTAAATCACCGATTCGATTGATTTCGCTAGCTCGATTAGTCCTCTTGCTAACATCTCGGAGGTTGTGTTATAGTAAAAATGGGTTTGAATAGAGACATATACCATGATGAACATAAACCAGAGAACAAGTGCAGTTACAAAGCAACATAAATTGCAATGCATAAAGATTTGGGGAAGAGCCTGGATGTGAATGTGAGACCTAAATGACACTTTATTTATACAATGTTACCCATCATCTTTCCAAAACATATGAAGAAAATTGGCAATGATGCATGAATAATGTTCACCTTATGTGTCATATTTAGACAACTGTCACGTTTTGATTTGGACTAACATGTAAAATTACTAATTTTCATTGATTTCTTTATTGGATTGGATCTAACACGTCAACCTAGAACAACTTACAAGTCCAAATTATGTGTATTTACTCTATATATGTTAATTGTTAAAGTTTCAGTTAGGACCGACTTGGTAATCATTAAATTTTCAATTTTCAATTTTCTTTTAAATTTAATTTTCCGAAACTTTTTCTAGAAGGGTTTTTTTTTGTGTTTTTTTGTTTTTGTTTTTGTTTTTTTTCCCCTTAGTTGTTATTTTTCCTTTAATACTCCCAAATACAGGGACTCGAGACACAACCTAGGACTTGGCAGGACCCTTGACCTATCCGAAATTGAAAATTAGTAATAACATGCCATTGTGTTTAAAAAGGTTAAATTGTAGCAATGGTCTCTAAACTATACCGTTTTTGCATTCCGAAATAATAGTTACTGTCGTCCTCAAATTAGGTTGTGCGTTGCACTTGCACTACTCATCATTTCCGTCAAATATGTCTAACTAACTGTCAAAATTGATCACGTGCATGGCACATGATCTAGTTTTAAGGGCAAATAAGACTTTTGAAGTCAACTGTTCTCCGTCGTGCTTTGCACTCTCATAGTCATCGTCAAACGACCATCACCAGACAAAGTGTCATGGCCTCTGTCGAACAACCACCATCGCCCTCTCTCTCTCTCTCTCTCTCTCTCTTCTAAGTCACAATATCAACATTCCCGCCTCCTCCCAACCTTAATGGCCTTCCTATGGACACCGCCAACCCACCATCACCACCACCACCAAGACTAAGATGAGATTTTTATTTTTTATTTTTGAGTAATTACTATAATAACATGTTTACTATTTCATAATTGGATTAAGAGGAACTGAATTAAGGAGAGTCATATTCCGAGTTGCTATTGAAGTTGTTTACTAAACCATATGGAATTGGGGTATGAGTGGTATTAATTACTAAAATGTCCTTGTTGTTGGGTTAAAATAGATGACACATTTGGAATTTTAAAAATTGTGTGTGGATATAATGGATAAAAAGATGAATTCATAATGAGTTAGTTCTCTAGAAATTAGAATACTACATTCCACCCAAGAATTGAATTCCTCCAAAATCAATAATTACTGATGTTGATTGTTGATAGTTTGGAGTGGTGGGTGGAAAGGTTGGGCCTTTCCTTTTATTTTATTATATATATAATTATTTTTTCTTATCTCATTTTTATTAGGCTTTTACCTATGAATTTAGCAAAAATTAAACAAAGTAAACGGAAAGAAGTAGTAGTGCTACCCGAATTTGAGGATGACATTAACTATTAAAATTCAGGGACAAAAATGAAATTAGGATCCATTGCTACAATTTAGCCTTTAAAAAATATTTTTCCCGTTGGATTAGAAATTAGATTAGGTATTCTCTTAAGAAAAAACCTCTTTGAGAAAAGCTTAAGAAAAGAAACCATAGCCAATGTCCCTTTTGGGGGTTGGTGGCCATCCTCCCTTACCCCTCCCCTCTCCTCTCTCATCTCCTCATATCCTATCTCCTTTCATCCTCTCTCCTTATCTCCTTTTTCCCCTTTATATTGCTTTGTTGTTTTGTTTTGTGGTGTCAAATGTCGTGAAACCCTATTGTCATCGTGATAATCACAGTCGTTTAGCGCACTTGCGGGAGGATTTAGCTCAAGTTGTCAGCCTTCAACATGGGTTTGGAGCTGCAATGACGGGAAGATGTCAGGTTGAGTTGGGTTGAAATTTAGTCGATACAACACTATAGGTTTAATCGGTATGGCGCTATGGTGGTCCTGCTTCTTAGTTTCACAGAACTTTAGGATGTTGAGCGATGGTCCCGCTTCTTAGTTTGTTTGGCTAATATTTTTCAGGAACTCTTTAGGAGCTTCTTGTCATTTGTTAGTTTTATTTCTTTTTAGTTTTCGACTTTCAATACGAATTTGTCACTTCTGCCAGTGCACGACATATTTGTATTGTAGGTTTGAGTAGGCGTGCTTTTGGTTGCTGAATCAGGGATTTTAATCAGTTTCTGGGTTGTGTGTGATTATCTATAGATCAATTCAACTTCCTTGTTGGAGAAGGTTTATCCATATTTGACACCATAGTGGTTTTGTACTTGTTTATGTTTCTCTTATCAATAAAATACATGGCCCTTTATAAGTATATTTTTTTTCTTCGCATGTTTCAAACTTAGGCAATTATCAAATTTGGATCATAATAATATTTTAAAATTATTGAATTTCATTTTTGAATGTCATTAGTCCGTAATTTAAATAAAACCATTCATATGCATATTAGCTTATTTACTATTAAGCTAACGTTTGAACTGTTTTTTTAGGGCAATGATTTCCCCACTCCTATTTTATCCACTTACACTCCTTTTTAGATAAAAAAAAAGGAGTGTAAGTGGATAAAATAGGAGAAAAAGGAGTGAGAAAATCACCACTCTTTTTTTAATCTTATCAAATAAGTAGTTGCTTATTTGATGTGATCAACGTTCCTAATTTGTAGTCTTAGCATACATATTCTTTAGCTATTCTAAACCATGATCAAAGTATTTAGACCCAAAAACTAAATAAAAAAAACTAGGGCTGGATTTGGTTTGGGTTGGTTCGATTTTGAGCTCAACCCGACATCTAATCGAAGGCTTCGGGTTAGCTATTTTGGAAACCGTACATCGAACCATAACCAATGAAACCGATCATTTCGGTTAACCCAAGTTTGTGGTTTGGTTTAGTTCGGTTTTGGGTTTGGGCTGAAAAGAGAGGAAGAGAGGAAGAGAGAAAGAGAGAGAGTAAGAAGAAGCTGGGAAAAAATAGATAGAGGGAGAGATTGAGAAAGGGGGGAGAGGAAGAAGAAGAAGGGAAAAAAATAGAAAAAGAAGACAGGGACAACGGGGAGAAGAAGGAGAAGAAGGATGAGAAGAGAGAGCGATGGAAAATAATAGAAAGAACAGAGAGCATGGAAAAAAAATATAAAAAAGATAGATATGGGAGGAGGAAAAAATTGCAGAGACTGACAGACGAAGGAGGAGGAAGAAAAGAAAGAGAGAGGGAGAGAAGAAGGAAAAAAAAGAAAAAAAAAAGAGGGAGAGATGGAAAGTGATGGAATGAAGAAGAAGATGGGAATAAAAAAAATAAAAAACGAAGGCTTTGGAAGATGTGAGATATGGGGAGAAGAAAAAGAATAAAAAAAACATTGGTTTCGGCGCAGATGAAGTGCATGTATCATGTCCACAGTCCACTTGCATGCTCTCACATTTTTTATAATATTTATTATTTGGAATAACTAATTATATACTATATTTATGGAAAGATTACACAAGGTTGTTTACTCCAGTGGAAAGCAAGAATGATTCTTACATGGAGGTGTGGGGTTCAAACCCTTTGTTGCAAAATGTTTTTGTAATATTTGGCTTGCCAATAGTAACAGTCCGGTTCGGGTAAATCGGTCCATTTAAAATCTCAAACTGCAAATCAAATTGAACTAACCGGTTTGGTCCGGTTTAAACCCGATATTAAATAAATAACCGAACTAAACCAACCCGATCAGTTTGGTTCGGCCAGTTTTTCGGGTTGGCGGTTTAATTGCCCAGCCCTAAAAAAACCCATATCAAAGTCGGAAGCAAAATGTATTCTCTCAGAATTTCCCGCTTGGTAAAAAAATTCTGACAGCCTTGACCAAAAATAAATATTGAATTATAATAAGAAAAGAACTTGCCACGTTGACATATGATGTTATATCAGGTTGCATGGTAAGAAGGCACGGACAAGGAATTCAGGGTTCAACAAAAGCCAGCAGCACTGTGTTACCAAATTCATTCAATAATGTTAAATTTCTAGCTGTTTACAATTAGAAAGAATACCTTTTCCCAACGAAACTTATCTAACCTATGTTATTTATAAGAACTTCGGACCATTGAAGAAATAGAATAGGATGCCTAATAGAACATTATAATTGTACAAAACGGCCCAAAAAGGAGAGGGTGACAATGCTCCATTTCCCCAATTCAGAGTGCTTGGATCGCGCTGCTCTTGCCCTTGCTCAAGTCCGGCTCACCAGCTGGAGCATTTGGGTGAAATGCCGACTGCCTCGAGGGCTCTCCTAGTAGTTTTAAGGAGAGAGGTGAAGGCTCCTTGTGGCCTCTCTGTGTGTCTCCTAGACTGAGCTGAGACATGCCCACCAGTGCATCAACATTGACAGGCTCCTTGCGAAGGATTGGAATCGGCCTTAAAACCTGCTGATGAGAGGCCTCCCCACCCTTTAATTCTCTCATGGGCCCTGCACTTGGTGGCCATACTGGAAAAGGGTATGGCAAATAAGCTGGGAAGAAACCAGGAATCATTGGTGGGAAACCGTTCGATCCCATTACAGGCTCATGATCAGGTTCTTTTACTTTTTCTTCATGTGTGGTTTCCATCGGTTTGCATTCTGAGCTGAGGGAAAGATTTAATGAAGGTAGTGAACTTGCAGCTTCAGATTCTGCTTCCTGACAAGAAGGCAGAAAAACTTGTTCTTCTGGCACGGGAGGTGGATCCATGGCCTGGCAAATAAATAGCAAACTAAATTTTAATATAATTATCTTAAATTTTATTACAAAACCTAACACTATTTTCTTTGACCAATTACATAGTGATAAGCAGAATAGCACTGAAGAAGTGACAAACAATAGCTAAATCCCATCCTTGTAGTGAAAGAGAAGGGTGGGTGTCATAACCATAAGGTGCCTAACATGGAAACAAAATTGTGTTTGAGACTGTGCTCACATTTGTGTTCAGAATATTTGAAAACGCATAAGAATATAGAGTAAGACAAACCATATCCGGAACCATGTCGAATAGGCTGGAGCGCCTCTTTCTTCGGGTAGCATTATTCTGTCGAATAAAATACTTCTGGGCATGGCTTGCCACCTGGGTAGGAGTCCTAGTTGTTACATAATTTCGTGCTATTCCACGCCAGTCTCCCTTCCCCAATTTCTGGAGACCAATTAAGAACATTCGATGCTCCTCCTCTGTCCATGGGGTCCCTGAGAACCAAACCAATAAAGATAATTAGAAACCCCAACAATTGATCAATCACAAAAACTGAATTGGGTCACAAAATTTTGTTGGTTTTAGGAAGATTAGACTGCAGTGTAATTGTTCTTATTATACATCACATCTCACAAGCAACTTCTAGTACATTTAACAATAATTTTACGCAAGCAGCCATCTGTCAACTCAAGCTCTGACAAGATAACTGAAATAGTTGATAAAAGTATGATGACAGACTTAATGAATTGGGCACCTCTGTAGCAGGCAACCAATTGGAATGCAGACACTTAGTTGGAATGCAAAAATTGGGTGGAATCGAAGTTAGTACTTCAAAAGGAAAATCAATTGCAGCCCAGCTAACCTAACGCATAAATTCATCTATATACAATTGCATGGCAACCAAAGAAATTTTCAACAGAAGTCACCTCAAATTGCAGAGCGTAGGGCAAAAAGTTGCCTCCAATTTGGTTGAATAATCCTGATGGAGAGCATGTCTGCCAATGGATCCAGCATACATTTTCATGAAATTTTTAATGCATGCTCAAAGATGTGAAAAACTGACAGAACTCTTAAGTGATAAGCAAGTTTCCAAGCATCGTTCAGGATATGATAAAAAAGATACCATATTCCTGGATCAATCATAATAGAGTTGATATGCTAACTGCATAAGCTTGACCCACCGGATAATGTATCCCTTCAAGATCTTTAGCACCCTCTACTGTCTAGGTTAATTTCTAATGAGGCAGCTCCGAGAGCTCTACATAGACTTATGCCAATCATGTTTATGAGGAAAGTGATCCAAGACCTATCATGTTCAGATATAACTCACAAGTCACAAACATGACATGACTTTTAGTCTCAAGAGTACCCATTTTGAAAGATAAAAGGTTAGTTTCAAAAGAGTTTGGAAGTTAAGAACTCAGGATTAGTAAATCACTATTTTGACAGCAGGCAAAATCAAGGTGGGTATTAGGGGACTCGGCAAATTGAAGAGCTGAAACAAGTAACATATCTCCTCAAAATCAAGGAAAAGAACGAAGTGCCAATCTAATAAAATCCTGTATCGTGGCAGCAGTTTATTCAGTAAGTATGCTATTCACAGAAGTAGTAGAATGAAATCAATAAATTAACCCCGTCATACTATCTCTCAAACACCCCTTAAAGGGCACTCTACTTGCAACTCAACAATGCTGACATTTTATTACCAGCTGTTTAGTATCTCTCAAACACCCCTCTATATTTTCTCTTCTAAATTCCATTTAGGGACAACTGTTTCAACTACTATATGAACAGGGCAGCAACATTCACATAATGTACCACATACTGTCAGAGTTTCAAAAATGATGTTCAGTTAAGTCTTTCACAGGATGCTTTGAGGTACTAGAAGCCAAAGTTCTGCTCTTGAATGCAGCCTTCGGCCCAACATATGAATCATATAAACCTTAAGATTGAAACTATCTCTTAGCTTATGGGGTATTGAAAAATGCAAACATGAAGAATTGTTGTAGAAAGACCATTGAACTATAAGCTCCAACCCAATACAAAACACAAACTGCTTTAACAAACAAATACAAGAAAAGCCAACTATCTAGTACCCATTTTCAAGTGGCGAAATTTAGCAAAGGGTACCAAATATACACACAAAGACAAGAAGAAGAAGAAAAATGAAACCCATCTACCTATGAGGGCCATCAAGTTTATGACTTGAAAACAATCAATTTTTTGACACGTGGAACAGAAGTAAAACACACGATTCAAAGAGGACTTTTTTAACGCGTCAATTAAGGTTATCTTGTTTATAGTCTAACTCAAAGCCAATGACAATACATGCAAAACCCAAATGAAAACGAAAGGAGAGAAAAAGAACCCAGAAAAAACAAATAAATCAAACTAAAAAATAAAAAATAAAAAGGAAGAAGCGAAGAACAAGTCAACATGAAACAATGAAACGAACAGCTCATCTTCCTCGAGAAAAGCACAGATACATTTCTATTAAATTTTACGCAAAGCAATAATAAATTTCAAAATTTCAATCAAAATATCGACTTGATTCTGAAAACACAACATGACTAGTTCATGCATGTATGCATAACCCAATAACTAAATTAACAACATGAACAAAACCATTCTCATTAAAATGAAATAAGTTCGGAAAAATGAAAAACACCTTTTTTACGATCTCCGCGTCGATTGGCGGAGGAGGAGGCATGGGCCGGGTCGTCGGATAAGTAACCTTCGGGGACGTGAACCGGGTCGTGGAGCGGGTCCGAGGTTGGGGAGTCCGGGTTGGGCGATGAGGAGTGGTAGTGCGCCGCACTGGATAAATTCCCCATACTAGCGCTCTTCTTGATGATCGAGCCATCGGTAAGCCTCACACCGAACAGCTTCAGGCCTCCGCCGCCACCGACGGAGGATGAGGAGGAGGACCCGACACGTGTCGGGCACGTGCGCGAGTTGTGCCCGTTGTTGCTGCAGTGCGAGCACCGCCGAGTCATTGTGCCTGACTCGGACGGGTCAGCGATCGCTAGTCGGGTCGGGCAGAGTCAAAGATCGGCGAGCGGGCGGGCGAGCGACAGACAGAAGGGGAAGAGATTGTGTCCGTGTTAATGTGGGAAGAGAGAGACGACGAGAGAGGGGTTTTATTTGGGAAGGGATAGGGGTAATTTAGGAAATATGAAAAATGGGGGTTAAGTAGAAGGTTAGAAGAACGCGGTGGTTCTACTGTTGGCGGGGTCTTAGCGGTTAAATTACGATTTTATCCCTGTTTAGGATAATGTTCTACTTTTTTGGGTCTCTTTTCTGGATCTTGGTTGGTGTTGGCTTTTGCAATTTTGGATCTTTTTTGGTTTTTTGTCTTTCTTTTTTCTTGGTGAGAAATGAGGATTTTGATATGTTCGTAGGATATTCTTTGAGTAGATAAAGGTAATCATGGACATTTTTGGATAGAAAATAAAATTTGATTTACTATATCACGAGAAATTATTGTGTATCCGATATTCTAAATTATTATATCACGTTACATACTAATGTGTTTTATTGAATTCAATTACATCATAACATGTGTTTTATTTTAAAATTAAGTAAGAATTTCAAATGTATTAGATACATTGAATGATTTTTAGTATATCCAAATCCTGGGTCAACTTGGATAACGATAAGTTTCGTGTGTGATTATCAACAAAAAAAACATATGGTTTGAATACAAACACCTAAACGAAGGTTATCCAAAATTAAAAAAAATAAAAATAAAAACATTTTGGTGACATTTAACTTAAGATACAAAACACGTTTCCGTTTTCTGACCAAATTGCCAAAATGATTCATTTGGAATTATGGAATGAAAAATGTGCCGTTCTGGTATATATTATTATCTATTGTATTGCCGTCAAAAAAATAAAATCCCTCGGCCATATGCCACGTGGAATTGGTGGTGACCCACATTGCTGTAGGTGCGCAGGGGGTCAAAATAGGAGTCTTGCAGAATGGATTGTCCTAACGTATATGTTACACCAAAATCAAACTGTGTTTTTTCCTTTTCTTTTTTTCCATATTTATCTGATCCTCAAAGAAGAAGAATATATTCTAATCATGCTTTGTCTCCTAAAGATCTACCAATATATGATTGAGTGTCACAACAAGTTTACATCAAAAAGCTTTAATCTTGTCCGATAATGGTCAGGGAATAAAATGGTGAAGCTCCTTTGGAAATCAGATATAAACAAACACAGTTTTTCTTACAGGAAATACAACAAGGTGCTTAAATTTACAAAGAGCCACATGTAGAGTGGGGGAGCCATTACCACTCCAATCTCGGGGATATGATCTCTATGTATAATGTGATATGGGATGATAAATTGTGAGAAAGATCTGACATTTGGTCCACGGGTACTTAATAATTATCTCTATTTAGTTGGAGGAGATAAGTGCGATACTTATTGTGATTAGTCATATTGTGATGGCGTATCTTTTTCGTTGGGATTGCGTTATCGACTTGTAAATATAATTTAGTTAGAAATATCCTATCTTTTAATCTTGATTTAAGATTTTTTTTCCTATGAAACGAGTGTTTGAATTGAACTTTAAACTTCTTTCAAGATTGGGAAATACTATATTAAGTAAATCATGGGTCAAATCAAGATCGGTAAGAATAATGATAAGAGATGAAGTCAATTAATGAAGTCAATTAGGGGATAGAGGAAAGGGGGAAGAAGTAAACTTCGGAGTTGGGAAATAATTTGGAAGAAATTTCTAACCTTCTAAAAGGGATGATTATCTTTTGTTATTACCTATCAAACTGATAACCTAAAAATTCATCTAATCTTTTTTTTTTTTAATAATATAAAAATTATAAAAAGATGATATAATTTTATTAGATCAATAAGAATAACAGTACAAAGGATAGGTAGTCATCCTAATAACAATATGGCAAAAGTGAGTAAAACTTTCTTAGTGAGTTGAGTTAGCCGAAAAACTGAAACGATGAGAATGACTCAAAAATAACTTTTCAAGAACCCATTTCACTACCACAATTTTCCGAATCTAGTCCAATGACATTAAAGATAAAAACTAGCTGCTAACCGGCATGACTCTCCTAGAGAGACTAAGAACACCCAACAAACTCAACTAAGTTTTCTATAATAATATAAGAGAAAAAAAAAAAAAAAAAAAGAAAACAAAGAGAAAAACAAACAACTAAACCAAAATGAAAAACTAAAACAACGTTGGCAAAAGAAAAATCAACCGCCTCTAGTCTTCATTTACGACATGATATAGAAAGTGTCACCTAGTTATTCTAGGGCCTCAACGCATGAATGAGTAGTGGATCTACCATGACCAAGCCACAACACCTCAAATAGCAGCCTCGAAAGATAAGGCACAACCAAAGCCAATCCGTATATGAGACAATATATTTGTCAAGGAAAAAGTATATCGACATAAGTCTACTAAAAGCCGAAGAACACTAAAAATTCGATAGAATCTAGGAGAAAACCACCCGAATCTAAAGATTTCTCTCTCTTTGTTAACTCTCTCTTAGCGGCTAAATTTCATCTCATCTTTTAATTATACCAACCAATCTTCGTCTGTCTTTTTCTACCCCTTAAATTATGGAGGTCAAAAATAGAAAATTTCTTTTTTATAGATTATCCAATCATGCATGCTTATAACAGAGTGCAAGTTGGTTTCCACAATTCGATTGTTACAGTGTTCAAAGAAAATTGGATTGGAAGAAATATAATATTAAAAAGATCATGTGTTATTTATTTTTATTTTATTATAATCTAATATAAATTATAAAAAAAGAATTCGAACTTAAGTGTATGATGGAAAGCACATCCGTTCTAACTAATTTAGCTATGCCCATATCTACAATCACATGTTATAATAATATAAGTGAACTGATAAAATCATGTGACGGTTTTACCATCACAACGTGAAAATTACTTGATCAAGATAAGATTGCCCCACATTCATACAAAGTTATGATTAAATCTGGCTAGAACAACGTTTTGTAGCAAGAAAACAGCACCTACAGAGAGCTCCATTATATTCCCGAGGACATCACAAGGCAGGCGGGCAGGTAGGCAGGCAGGCATACATTGGTTGAGCTCCAATCATAAAATTAACAACATTATCATATGACACGTGAAGCTAAGATATAGGAGATGAAAGCAAAGTCAAGCTTTGCAGATACAAGATAGAAAGCCCAGATACACAATCAACCTTTTTTATCTTTTCCATGAAGACTTTGAATTTGAAGGGAGAAAAGAAATAAAGTAAGTTATCTTGGTGTTGGAGATGAACTTCCAGGAACCCTGAGCCTAACTTTCCAATCATAAATAGTTAATAAAGTTTTGGGGATAGTGTGAACGTGGATTTTGATACTTTGTTTGCTGCTCATGACAATCTGCATGTGGCGTTTGCCCAAAAAACACTATAAAGTGATACGTTAAGTCTATAAATAAAATGTTATATCGGAATTTATTTATTTTAGATGACACGTTATATCTGGTCATTTTAAATTCTTGAGTTTGATCTTACATTCTAAATTGAACAATGTTGAAAGGCAATCCTAATTCCAAATACGGAAAAAAAGTTGAGTTTAACCATCACACCACCACGTAGTATTACTATGTGTTGGCAGTTGCCGGAATGCTAGAGTTTGGGTCACGGGGTTTAGGACCCATAGTTCAATGTTCAGAAGTTCTCAAGTCTGCCCATCAATAAAATAAAAAATCTAAAGTTTGGAACTAAAGGTTAAAACATGGCTTGGGTCCAAATAGTAATCCATTTGTTGGATCTTGAGCTTGACCTGACCAAATTTGAATTGGGCTCAAACACTAACAATTTAAAACTACCGTTGCTAAGTTCGTGACGATGGAAGTGATGTAGAGTGTTATGCTATTACTTTCTTGGTTGAATTAGAAGGAACCACGGTATATGCATACTTGATTTATACAATATAGCAACATTTGGGTTAAATATTTTAATCTCGGCATTGAGAATTGGTAATCATCATCAGCTAACTTTTGGTTCAGTGATATTTCTCATCATAATATGGAAAAATATTCCGAGTTTGAATCATGTATGAAGGTAACTTGAAAGGTTTATTTCATTTAAAATGTGACGGTTCACATCATTTTCCAACTATATTTTTTGAGCCCTAACCCAACTACCTGCACCCATCCTACTTTTCTTCCAACAAATTGGTTACATAATAGAACAAATGAGAAGGGGAAAACCAAAAATAAATCAACCATAGAAAGACAAGAAAAAAACAATAATTGATTCGTTTAACCGTAGCTAACCCAGGAACAACAAACCCCACAGAAACTTCAAAAAATTCACCGGAAACTTCGATAGGAAGGGCTGTACATACAGCTTTCAGCATACTTCTCCAGATCCTTTGGTTCAGGGAGGCGAGTAGCCAAACCTACAAAAGCCAATTGAAGAATGTCAACATTTAGGTCTATTCAGTCACAAGAAATTTAACAAGAGCAGAGCCACTGAGAGAGCCTAACCAAGTTCATATGATTTAGCAGCTACTTTAGCAGCAATATGTGCCGAAATCTTTCTAATGTTTGTAAATGGAGGGTATATGAGTCCCTTGTCATAGTCTTCCTGGGATACCTGTGAAGCCAAAGCTTCCGCTGTTCCAAGGAACAAACATGGCATAAGATGTAATGACTGATTATGGACCAAGGACCTGTTCCTTAGTTAATTCTTACTATAAACTAAGAACTTCTGCATACTGTTTATATAATTTGAAAAATAGTTTAACTATACTAGTGCCCCAACATTTTTCGTCTCACTTTGTCCCCATTGTCAAGTTCGTCAATTACTCTGTCAAAACCAATGACATGGCTCCTACATGGCCCCAATAATTTTCTGCCACATAGGAGGCACATTAGCAGTTTTAAAATAATTTTTAAGGGACTTGATAGTAGGTGGCACAACGAGACGTCAAACACCCAAGGGGGCAAGGTACATCATTGTGATATTTATGGGCAATGTAGTATCTCACCACACTTTCAGGGGCACTAGTAATTAATCCTTTCAAAAAAATCCTTTAATTTCATGTCTTTTGTGCACTTACAGGCTGCCAGAAGCATGTCGTCATGAACACGGATAGTACCAGACATTATTAAACCCAAACCAAATCCAGGGAAGATGTATGCATTGTTTGCCTGAATGAAGAAGGAAAATAAATGTCAAAGTCTTATATAGTTAACTTGGGACATCGTCAGATTCTCTAGCATTAATACCTGGCCAGGAGTGTAAACCTTCCCCTCATATTCAACAGGCGGGAATGGGCTTCCACTACAATAAATAGCACGACCCTGAAAATAATGATAGTGAAATAAGAACAAAAAAATCAAAAAAACAAAAAATCATTCTCTAACATCAAGTACACAGTGAATGAAACAATTTAAAGCAAAAGATGCAAGGTTGTATTACCTGAGTCCATGTGTATGCTTCTTCCGCAGTACATTCAGATTGTGATGTTGGGTTGGAAAGAGCAAGGATAATAGGTCTCTATTAGCAGGTCATACACAAAAATGGTCAGCCTACCTTCAAGAGGGTGTAAATGCAATTTTTCAACAAGGCCATTGAATAACGTGAAGTTTCTCAATAAGGCCATTAACAAAAATGCAATTTCTCAAATACATAACAGAGGAAAATTCTGAAATGATGGCCCCTGTATGGATGTTTGACATGCTTAAGATGTAAAATCTCAAGTCTTGCCCACACAAAAGCAAAAAGTGTTATGAGTGCATGGGCATTTTACACCCAATAGGGATGCTGCGCCCACATGATAGAAAAACCTAATAACAAATTTAGGGAATAGAGTACCTCATTGAGGGAGGCCATAGACTCAACCACTTCTTTGGTGAATGTTCTTCCTGCTCCTGACGTTCCAATTAACACTGTAGGTTTGATTGCCTGATTAAAAAGGACAACAAAGTATAGTGAGAAACTTCTGCTCTATATGCACTATAATAATGTTGACTCTATGGTGTCAAACATATGAGCATCTCGGTGTGTGTGTGGGAGGGAGAGAGAGAGAAAGATTTCACACATTAACAGCATCTACAAGTTCCTTGACTGGTTCATGTTCATGAGCCCACGGCTTTTTAAAATGTTGGAGTGATTCCTTCCTAGAACTGACAATCAATCCCTGCAAATAAATTTCTTACCAAATGAAAACTGATGGAAAGATAACAAAATTCTACTTCAGATAGAAATAAATTACATTTGCTCTCCCTACCTTTGAGTCCACAAGCCAAATGTTCTTTCGGGTCTCTTCCACTGGGATATTTGTCTGCAATAATTCAGGTGCAATTTTTGTATGTATCAAGATTTATTCTAATACCACTCTTTATAATAAATAATTACTGAGGATCTTTTTTGTTTTCTCTTGGGTAAGATACCAAGGATCTTTTATTGTACAAGTTAAATCAAACAAATAGTAAGCTAAAAACCTGTTTGGAAACTTCAAGGGCTATCAGTTCTGCTATGCCAGTGCCGGCCTGAAACCATTAAACAAGTGAGAATGTGAAACACAACACAACACAACAACAAAGTGCTAGCACAGGGGGCATCAGTTAGGGTTAGAGGACAGGGAAGAGAATTCCTATGGAAATATACATATAAAGAAGAGGTGCATTTTGGATGAGGGAACCACCAAGTCCCAAGAATTTCACGATTTTCAACTTCACCAATCACAAAGAATATACACAGAATTACCCCTTCTTTATTACTCTTTGAAAGTAATTAAAAGTATCCTCAACTAAGGGAACGTACTCACCTCTCCAGCACCAAGGAATAAAAATCTGTGGTCAGCTAATGATCCCCCAACTAACTTCAAAGCTGCAACAAGTCCTCCAAGAACCACAGATGCTGTCCCCTGGAATAAATTAATTACACAAACATTAGAGATGCGCTTTTTCTGAATTACTACAAATATCAACAATCCCCAGCAACTTACCTGAATGTCATCATTAAAACAAGATGAGTTGTACCATACTTTGCAAGCAGATCAAAAGCATTGTGGTTCGCAAAGTCTTCAAACTACAGAGAATGACATATGTAATTAGGAATGCTAAATTTAAAATGAAATAAATGACCAAGTTCAGCAGTGCAGCCAAATAATTGAAGACTAAATTTGTCCACCACCAAATACCTGAACGAGAATTTTCTCCCCATAATTCTGCTTGACTGCAGTCATGAATTCCTGTAGAAGTTCCGCATATTCCTAAAGAAAAGAAGAGCAAACCCACTTTGGTAAGACAGAAAACAACATAATCGCCTGAAATCATTTGAACACCAAACAAGTAAAGCAAACATATCATAAACCTGTCCAGTAGCCCTCTTTTGCCTGAGTCCAATGTAGAACTCATCGTCCAATAGCTTCTGATTGTTTGTACCAACATCAATGGTTACAGGCAAGCACTGAAAAAAATTGAAAAACATAAAACAACATATTCAATAAGAATAGATAACAAAGATAAAAGATGAAATCTTTATGACTTCTAAACATAAGTCATGTCAGAAAATAATAGAATTTGTCATGGGGATACTTACAGCAGAAGGACGAACTCCTCCAAGTGCCGTATATAGAGCAAGTTTACCCACAGGTATACCCATCCCCTGAGAAAATATCATATATTGATATCAATTAACCATTTAGAAGGGGGTACAACAAGTACATGAAATATTCTCTTTTCAGGCAAGGTATCTCATATTGGTTTTTATCGATGCAACTAGAAAACAGAGTTTAATAGTGTTTACATGACAGCCAAGATCCCCCAGCCCAAGGATCCGCTCTCCATCAGTGACAACAATGACTTGAATATTCTTCTCAGGCCAGTTCCTCAACACTTCAAGAATCTTGCCCCTTGGGATGCCAAGAAGAAGAAAAAATATCAGTCAGCTTCAACACAATTTGGAAGTGGCCATTAAAGTAGAGATCTAAAAGAAATTTTCATTAAACTTACTTGTCTTTCAAACTTATGAAAAGACCGTGTGGATGCGTAAATATGCTTCCATATTTCTGGCAAGCTTCACCGACAGTAGGAGTATATACAACTGGGAGTAATTCCTCGACATGGTCAATAAGAAGCTTGTAGAATAGCTTTTCATTTCTCCCCTGAAATCATAATAGTGCATAATTGAAACTTTAAACCTTGCCATTTCAATATCAACAAATTAGGGCCTCAAACCAAAATTTCAGTGAAATGATGATGGCTACCTGAAGATCCATCATGGCTATATACTTCTGCAGAGGAACTAGATACTGGCGGATACAATTTATCATTTTCTTCACCTGTCAATTAGATTTGCGGCAAAGTGTAAATGATTTATATATATTTAAAAAATTGCAGAACAAATGATGCAATTTTGTGAGCATATAAAAATCATTGACAAACCTGAAGTTCTTGAGAAATAACAACAGGGGGGAGAAGACCACGCAAGTAATGAGCATCTCTCTCTTTCTCTGTGAAGGCAAGACCTTTGTTGTGGTGTGGATCCCGTATCAACGTATATCCACTGCAAAGCAAGACAAAAGAATAATGTATAACAAAGGTGCCAAGAACATAAAATAGCAAAGAGGACTTCTGTCCATTTATTTCAAATAAAAGAAAACTGATAACACTGCAGACATATCAGAACGCTGAGCTGAACCAGAAAAGAAGTATCAGTCTGTGAAGTAAGAACAGTATATGAGAATATTACAGTAACTTAACAAAGTAAATATTCAAGGTAGTTGGTGTCCCTATTAGCCACATGCAATCGAACAAATTCAAGGGTATCTCAGAGTTTTACACCGACCCAAATGCAACTCAGCCAAAATGTTGAGCAGGAAGCAAAAATAAGACAGAATTACATATTGAGGTTGGGAATGAAATTGCATAAATTAAAATGTTTTCTTTCATTTATTTGAAAGAAACCCAAAGGGGAAATTCATGCAACTTAAACTCACGAACAAAAACACGTCCTTTTCACCTGAAAATTATTCAACATTTCATACTAAATGATGTGGAGCCTCTATTATCATGCCACATGTAACACATGGGCCCGCCCCTTTAATATGGCAAGTGTAGGCACCACCACGTTATGAGGCATTAGACTCTTATTTTGGTGGTTTCTTAAAAATTCTTCTTAACACTTTTGTTGCTATTTGTAGTATTGTTTTGTTATACATGTGCCTAGTCTGAAACCCAGAGTGCATTTACCTAGCAAACGAACTGAATCAAAAGAATTTATTTGTACATAAAAAATTATACCAAGAACCCACAAAATTAATTGATCCATTACTTTCCTTACAGAACGCCCAATACTGATTCTCTATCCCAGAATACTTGACCATAAAAGGAACCAATTAGCATAATTATCATATACATATACATATAAAGTTCCCATAAAAGGGGTTTAAAGAGTATTTGAAATTTCTTAGAAAATTATTTGTAACTTCATTAGTAGTTATAAGCACAACTATGTGCGATTCTCATCAAGGTGTCTGTTGGAAACTTATAAAACTTCATTCATATTGAATATATGAAAAATATATAACGAAAGGAAATTTCACTAATTAAGCAACTGCTCAAAAAAATCAGTAAGCAGCCCACAATAGGTACAAGTTTCACTTAAAATAACATCAATTAGGTGACTTGCTCAAAAATGAAAAGGCAAAAGAACATAGATTTCATCGAAATTAAAATAACCTGCAAAAGAATCATAGCCCCTGTAACATTATTAAATAATGATATTATCAAAAAACAATCATAAGCATATTGATCTTTGCTCCCACCTAGCAACAGAGACACTCCAGGGTGTGACAAATTGGTCCTCGGTGGCAGTATCCTCACCATACACATCTTGGACCCCACCATGGACGGTGGATTTCAGCTCAACAACCGAGGATTCGTCCTTCACTTCCTGCAATGTGCTCTCCATCACTACGCTGCCGTTTCGGTCACCAGTCCGGGCTTTTGGGACCAAAGCCACCACTTTCAGCGAAGCTGAGCGCCTCTTCTGGCTATGAGAGAACGGGCTAGAAGACCCAGCGATGGCCGGGTTGCCCTGTACAAAAATACAATAATAAAAAAGCTATCCTAATAATCAGCCAAAAAAAATTAAAACTAAAGATTGAAAATTTTGTGATAATGGAGAAGACCCAGAAATTGAAATCTCATTCACCGACTTTGAATTGTTTTATAACACGTAATTGGCAATCAGAAAGCCGGAAAGATTTGAAATTTCAATGGGTTTCAATGTGGGAAAACACATGGAAGACAATTGAAAAAGCTTTCTTTTTTTCTTCTTCTTGAATTTCCAAGAAAGTTGTGTGATTGAATTTTGTGAAGTGGGTGCGCTTGAAATTCTGATCTGAGAAATGGGTTTGATTTATATTACCAGAAAACAGCTTCTATTCAACGACATCATGGCGACTGATATGTGAAAGAGAGAGTCTTTCGCTTTTGGTACTCACTGCAGAGGCAGGGAGACAGAGAAATAGGGAGAGTGCAAGTGAGAGAGAGGACAGAGAGTCTTGAGCTTTGAGAAGCTCTCCTTGCTTTTCTCCTTCTCTCTGTCTCTCTCTCTACCTGAAATTTGTGAAACCACAGAGACAGATCAAGAAATGGGAAATGAAGCAGCTCAAAAATGTGGCTCCTTCTTCTCTCTTGGGGTAATTGTATGCAACTAATTTGTCTCCAATTTACCAAAATACCCTTGCACTTTTATTTCTTTACATTAATTTTACTTGGGGTACAATGGCACACACAGTTATGTGGGACCAAAAGGAGGGTGGGGCCTGCTCTATATTGTGGTTGTGATCCTCACCATAGAATTTATAATCGGATATTGACAAGGCGGTGTGACAGCATCTAAGGGGCTGGATTGCATATGAAAAGACGGTGGGCGCAATGAAGGGTAAGATAGTGAAAGGAGGAAAGGCATGACATGAAGAGGCTCACACACAGTAAGATGCATGGGGTCTTGTACATGGGACATTGACATAACCGTAGGTTTAGTTTTATTTTTTCTTTGCGATGTGCCTTGGAATTTGTCTTCATTGTAAACTTCACATAGAACTCCCAATCGGGTGATTTCATGGCTGAAATGCAGAGGCCATGGCCTGGCCTTCCCTTTCAAAAGTGGTGTACAATAAAGAAATTTGCCCAAGATTGTTGGGATAATCCAACTCTTTGATTCCCCTTGTCTTTGTGTGGATAAAACCTAAAAAACCTTTTTATAAATATATGTATTTTACTTTTATATATATTATTATATGTATTACATCAAAATATTGTGGGATTACTTTAGGTTTAATTTGGAAAGATGAGATTCAAATTTTACTTTTGTGTTTTTTTTTTTTTTTTTTTTTTTTTTTTTTTTACAAGCGATAATCCAAATTATAAGGGGGAGGAGGGTTTATCACACACATACTACCAAGGTATTATAAAGGTTCAAACATTATATCAATAGTATGTAAGTTAAAGCCATTTTTCATTTGTCTAGCTAAACTTCATTAGAACATTTATGATACATAAAAGTTCGTATTTATATGAAAAACAAGAAGAGACTCAAATAGCCTTGCTTGCATTGAATATGGCAAGGCATGACATGCCATGGCAAACCAAGCCACAGTATGTCATGGCAGCACAAGCCTCCAATATCCGCACTTTCTCAAAATGCCTTGAATGGGACCCAATGCAATGCCAAGGCCAACGGAAAGTCTTGCCAGTGTCCTGGGCATGTCTAGGCCACATATTGGGCACATCATGGGCATGTCTTAGGTACGTTTAGCCGCGGCAAGACAAGGCAAGGCAAGCCACACCATCCCAAAGTAGAGCACTTCAAATGATTCATTACATATAATAATTTTAAGTTTTTAGTATTACATCGTGTCTAGTCATCTTAAATTAAATTCAAATAAATTGTATCTAGTATTTTTATGGCTCTACCGACGGTTTACTATCAACATTCAAATCATCTTTCTTTATATGCAATGCCAATTAACAAACTAATATAAGCAAAAACGTGTCAAGTTAGAAAATGTAATTAAGGAAGGGAGGTCGGGTTATACATATGGGTAGGTAAGCATGCCGGGTTAATGGGTGGGTAGGTGGGCGTTCCGTGACCAATGTGGGGCTAATAACTGGTGGGGTTCAAAGTCTTGCAAGGCAGAGAATGGCAGCATTGTCTCTCGGCCAAATAAATAAACAAACAAAGAGCAAGATAACTATGAAAGTGAGAGGACACTAGAGGCTCCAACGGAAGCGATCAATTAGGAAATGCATCTAGGGTTTTGAGCAATATTTGCGAACCTTTTGTTATTGACACGCGTGCGCATTAATTCGTGTAGCTAATATGTGATGCAAAAGAAATGCAAACGAGATAAACGAAAAAGAAGAAGAGAGATTTGACCAAAACTAGTCTCAGTAATTCACGCACCTGCGGTGATAATCGTGAATAATTAATGAAAATAATCACATAATACGTTAACAGTTTAATATTAATTCGAACACGTATGACGATTAATGCTACCACAATTTTTAAGAAATCAGTCTTATTATCCTAACACCATTGACGTGTACGTTATAACGTTGAAACTTTGATGGGACATGCTCTAATTGATTTGAGGGTATTTTTATGCCCTAATTAATCACATGATGCAATGCGAACTAATTTGCCAACACGTTATGTGTTCATTAAAAAAAAGAAAAAAAAAGAAGGGGTCTTCATTTGATTAAGCATGTGAAACATGTTGGGGTACCGATTTGGAACCACCAAAACCAAACCCCACTTGGCTGTAAAGCTATAAATTACACATAAAAAAAGTCCACATTGTGATAATGTGTATCATTTATTTCCAATTTGTTAAATTACTATATAAATTGATACAACCATGGTATTTATTTTACTTTCTTTTTATTGGACAATTTAAGCGGACCTATTAGAACAATTTAGGTAGGTATACCACCAGAACGGGAGGCGTTTATGATGAAAAAGTTAATGACCAAATTAAAGCTAATGACAGGAAAAGTTAGGGAGAGAGAGAGAGAGAGAGAGAGAGAGAGAGAGAGAGAGAGAGAGTTCAACTGCTTAATTCGGCCTTTAAAAGGAGATGTTTGGATTGTTGTCATTTTCAAACAGCCGAGTTGTGAACTTGTGTGACGATAATGTTCCATGTATCAACATCTTCCTAAAGTCTTCTAAGAAAAACAAGTGTTCTCCATAATCCTCCCAAAAAAGGTATGGAGGATAATAGGGGAACAGAGTTGCAGACGAGGGTTAGCAGTTAGCCACAACTTGTAACGAAATCATTTTGGCCAGATTAGTGAAAAAAAGAAGCCGCACAAGACATGAGTTACTTGCTGCATTTCAATTATGAATTTTTTCAAGCAGGTGGTGAGTACTCTTGCCCAACCACCTAAACTTCCGAGGGACAACAATCTCGTCTCTTATGGTGTTTTCCGGCCTTTCGGAAGTCAAGTGTCTTTGTTGAATATAAAAAAATCCAAACATCCTTCGTAATGCAATTCAATTATCATAAACCGTCTATACTTTAGGTTGTCCTTCAAGGGCCATCCATGCACAAAATCATTTAGACTAAAAACTGCTTGATCCTTTAAAATGTCACCCAAAAAAAATAACATTTCACTAGATAAAAATAAAATAAAATGGTAATACTCAGATTTTCCTATTTAACCATTTCATTACATGGATGATCCTCGAAAAAGAACCTAAAAACTAAACATAGTTAATCATTAGATTACAATCCATAAATAGGATGTGTATATATATGTTAAGTATATTTATATATTCCTAAAATTGAGATATTCCTAAAATAAGCTTATTTTAGGGACACTCTTGTATTGTATTTCACTAATCTAAATCGTATATTTTATAGATATTCATTTAAAAATCTTATCTATAAAAAATCACTAGAATCCGATATTATTTGACAACTCAATTGAATTATTGAAATTTTAATATTTTCTTGAAACACTGTGTTAATTGATTTTTTAGGGCACAATTAGATGTCGAAACGGTTGTCAATTTATCTAATTTTTTGCAAGGATGATCTATGAATATAGATTTAAAAAATAGATAATTTAGATCGTTGAAAAAAAAATTGTAAGAAATCCTAAAGAGTATCACTCAAATAAAATTATTTGAAAGACCCATAATAGAAGGTACTATAGATATGATGTTAAGCTTTTTATTGATTTAGATGAAGATGCACACAACCATACATCTCAGCAATCGCTATCGTGTTATTCAAGGCTTACCAAGCCAAACCAGACATTGACAGCATCTAGCATGTTGCTGTATTTATGAAAAGTTAATAAAACACATCCTGTTTTTTTGCTGGAAATAAAACACAGTTGTTGGTTTACAATTGCAACTTGTCCGCCCCTTAATTTTTGGCGGTCAAACCAAAGGAAATTTAAACCCTATTGCGATAGATAGATGAAGGGTTAGCTGAGTTGGGTATGACACACTATATAATATATATTAAATCATCTCTTTCTTTTTTGGAAATATTTTTGTCCACCATTTTAATTTGAGGCGTATCTTTATAATCCTTCTCAATATTTGACACGTGTCCATTAACATAATCATAATTAACTATTTACTTTATATTTATAGAACTATCGTTATATCAATGAATACACGTCAAGTGTTGATATGCCAACTGGTCAATAAAAAATGTCATTAACTTATAGAATGGTGTCTCGAACAAGTTAAGTGTGTGGGAAGATTCCTCTTCTCATTTTTAACTTTGGGAAAAACCAGAAAAAAGTTATATAAAGCTCAGCTCACTGTGCATCGCATTTAAGTTTGGTTCATCTGGTGGAGGCTGCATCTGGTTGCTTGGCCTTGGAGAAAGTCCAATCGGACTTGTATTCTTCAGTCTTCTTCAAACCGCGGTCCAACCACTTTGACGAATTTTCATCTTTCCTGGCAAGCTGCTTTTAACTTTAATATTGTGTAAAGTCTAAACAAGCCCTTTCACGGTTTCAAATTCCATCAAATTCCATCCACGCACTTTCCAAGAGTACACGTCGTTCCCATCTGTGCCAGGAATTTTTTAGGCTCCCACCAGAGCTTGTGGCGGGCTTAATTCCATGGTGGCCCGCCATTTTCTTATAAAGTGAAGTCAAAGAGATCCGCAAAGCCATATCCAATAATGTTATTGGTTATATGTCTCGTGGTGCAAAAGCTGCGTCCTGAGAACCCGTGTGGACCATCTTAATTACGACATGAAGAAATAGAGCTACCCATGATTTGCATGTGTGTGTTCATGTTAAGATATACATAATAAGAGTTAAGCGTGTGTTTATTCATGATAACGCAGTTACAATTAAATAAAAAGTTATTAATTCATTATTTTCTGGAAATGAGGGTAAAGAATGAGCAGGCATGGGATGAGAGCTCACATATATTATACATAATACATATCTTCGTAGTATATCTACATCTAAACTTTTGGGGTCCAAATGGGTATATATATGATATTGACTCATATATTTTCTTTTCTTCAGTATATTGAACCCAATATTTTCTTGGAGTCTCTCTCTTTTCTACATGAGAATAGGCCTCACGGCTCACGTTATAACCCCGCATTATAGCCTCACTCTATTGACTTCGGGCGTTTGATGCGTTTACATAAACCTCAGAATTTGGCTTTGAGTTTAGGATCATTAGGTTTTGAGTTGAAGGTTCAAACTCACATCTGGGTTTGGATTGTGACGAAAAATTAGAAATGGATCAATGCGTTCAGGTCTATTGGAGAGCAAAGGCCTTAAATTTTTTTTAATCATAAACTGACACAGCCTACAGGTACAAATGCGTAGACAAAGGCCACACAGAGCACCCAAGGTAAAAAAAAGTGAAAAAATTACTTGTAATGAGCTTGAATTACATTGGGTTGAAGATGAATGAAACAGATTGATAGGGATGTGTAGTTCAAACAGGCTCTAGATGGCCATGAGCATATACAGATGAAGAGAAACACATTAAACAAGGCCATGGAGAAATTAATGCATAACAAAGTCCAAAAAAGAAGGGTAGACCTAGAAGAGGGCAAAAACCAGAGCAAATGATTATCTGATAGAACAGAACACAACAAAATATATGGGGCTCAATCTGAAAGAAGCCAAATTGCAAAGGAAAGGAGACCTTGAGTTGCTGGATTGGATAGCTCCAACCCCAACATGGAAGTTAACCAACATCATCAGCAATCTGAAACAAATTAATAAAGCACAAACAAAATAGAACATGGCCAACTGCATGCACCAGCAAACATAAAACCCAGAATAGTATCTTCTGCAAACAAAAGCATGAATATTGCAGATCCAGCTGATGTAGACTTGCTCAAGCCTCAACTCAAGGTACAAATTCAAAATTTCTGCTTTAGTTAATAGTCGGTGCATATAATAACCGAAATTCAGAGTGATCAGGTCATGTATCACTATAATAACATGGAAGAACAGTTGACCAGAAATACATAATAAAAATAAATAAGTCACCTGCTGAAAATTTTCACAAGTGCACTGCTAGCTGAAAATACATTAAATATAAATGATAATACAGCTTCAATAAATAAAAGTTTACTACTTTAATTCTTCCTATATATTAGCTAGCTGCTAGTTTCTCCACCATGGGCTAGCTGGTGGGCATGTTGTGGTAAGCTAGGAACTGGTGTTGGCCACCATGGGAGTACGAATGGGAAGAAATAAAAATTATTGAGTTTCCTCTTTTCAACCATCTTTGACCACTTTCCTGTACGAATGTTGCACATTATAATATCTGCATCCACATATAGATAAAAAATATCCTCATTATTTGGGTCGAAAGATAGCCTCTCAACGACTCGTGCATCATCCAGATACATATCTTCGTCAAAGGAATAAACATTGTGTTTACTCAAACACAATTCGCCAGCTCCCTTGACCATATAATCATGATCTTGTCGTTTCAAATCCCAAACAAACAGAGTTTTGGAATCTGTGTCAAAGTCACACATCCGCAACAACCCTCCACACACACCTAGGCACTCAACTACAAAATGGTCGGCTACAGGCATAGCAAATACCACGAAACGACATTTATGATCAATAATATCACCACCATTGCTACAACCACTACTAGTGCTAGTACTGCTATTGTCATTGAACGGATCCAACCCAAGAACCAGAAAATAGCCATAATCATGACCCGACCAATACAACACTCCATTGTACGAAAAGGCCATAGCATCGAGATAATCATAAGAAATTCCTCGTGGGGATGATACAACTAACTCGCTCCATTTACCAGTCTCAAAAGAGAAGATCTCCACATTAAAATTGAAGCAGTGCTCATCATGATCAAATTCAAATTGACGATCAGGAGGAAGAATTCTCACAACCTTGCACCTAAACTTGGCATTAAGCTGGATGACAAGTCCATTTGGATCGTCTTCCTCATAGTAGGGACTATCACAGATGAATCCCACTCGTACAATGTCATAGCATCGAGTAGGGGTGGGGGGAAGAGCAACCCATTGCGTGGTGTATGGATTGCATATGTAGTAATTTTGTTGATCAAACAAGCTATCACAGCATAAAATCAAGTCATTGTAAGCCCCTACCACAACTGGCTCTGTTTCCAAATGGTCGAAACTCTCGAGTCTTTTCAACATAGGAGTTAACACTTCGGACAAAGAAACTCTGTTAAATAATTCCTCTGCATTGCGGCTTATCAAAGTGCGTACAGTAGGTGTTTTCCTATGACTTTGGAGACGCAAAAAGCGGTCAATAAAATAAGGAGCAGAGATGAGAGTGAGCCAACGCTTGCACACACACTTGCATTGAAAAATGAATTTACCGCAAGGAACTCGACAAAGTATTTCAACCAACACAAGCTCAGGGAGATCATGAATATCCATCAATTTCAATGATTGCCTTTGCCTTACGGGTGATGATCTATCTTTTTAGGTGCATATGCTCCAAGGGACGGCTGGGCTCTACTGCTTCCTCCAATGGCAGCACAACTTAATTAGGATCTAGTTCAAGATGATGTTTCAAATTTCAATACATACAAGATTATATATAATAAATAAATAAACTAAGAAAAGGAATGCAGCTAAAAAAGAATCAGCAAAATGAAACTAAATACAAGAAACTGCTTGCTTAGTTACTTGGTACAATAGAACTCTATGCATTTTTGAACCCTAAATCTAGAAATTGGGATTTAGGGTTAGAAATTTTACTGTCAAAAAATAGGAAATTGGAAATGAAGGATTTTACCTGGTCAAGACTGAAGAGGATGATTTCCTTAAGCACCCAAACAGAAATGGCAGGAACAACAAAGAACCAGAGGAATCAAATGGTCTTTGATTCTTAGACAGGAGGAGGAGAGGAGGAGATGAGGTGGAGAGGAGTGCAAGTGCAACGATAACCCAACTGAACTAGTAAAGCTTCTAGAAACAACCGCAGTTCGTGTTGGGCTGGTACCTGAAGAGGCCCAAGATCGTGGGCAAATGGGCTTTTACGCTGTTTTTATTTATTTATATAAAACTTTTACCACTAGCCTTACTTAGAAGTGGATATAATCATAGAAGTATAAAGAAAATTCCCGAATAAATATTTTATGTTAAATAGAAATAACATAAAAGTAGAGGCTAGGATTCACACAAGATGCAAATTGTCTTTCTATGATATGATTCGTTGGTATGGTTTTGCGCACCCTTAGTTGGCAAGAGACCAATCTAAAGAAAACCTTCATACACTAATTTCAACTTCACAATTTTGTTTTCTGCCCTAGGCCCACAATTTTATGTCCATCCACAAATAATGTTGTGCATCTTTGACCACTTTATGGTACGATAATGTTGTGCACGACAATACCTCCATCCACAAATAGATAGCAAACATCCTGATTGTTTGGATCGAAACGTAGCAGCCAAACAAACAATGCATCATCCGGATACATATTTTGGTCCATCGAATAAACCATGTATTATTTGACAGTGATTCTGGAAAGATCAGAATGACGCAAATATGTTTTTTCAGAATATTACTACCAAACGAGCTCTAAAATATAATTTTAAGGTCGAGGAGGAATAATATATATTACAATTATTTATAAGGAAGATAACCAACTAGGAACGTTACATTGCAGGGTTGTGGGCTAAGAATCTTATGGGGGTACGTTATGACAATGAATGAAAATCAATTGGATTACATTTTGTACGTATATAATATATATTAAATTTGCTCGCCTCTTTTCCTCCGCCATGGCATTGCTGCTGGGCATGCATGTTGTGGGAGTCTAGGAACTGGTGTTGGCCACCATGGCTGCACATGCACAAAGCTGTAGGAAATTTTGTGTGGAATCTCTTCAACGATCGTTGACCACTTTCTGGTACGAAAATTGTACTTGTACTTGACACATTCTCCATTCACGTATAGATAGCAAACGTCCTCATTGTTTGGATCGAAGGGTCGCAGGCTAACATTCGATTCATTATCCAGGTACATATTTTGGTCCAACGAATAAACCATGCGTTTACTCAAACAGAATTTGCCATCTTCTTCTGCTTTCAAATAAAAAACAATCAGACTCCTGGTAGCCATGTCCAAGCCACACATCCGTATGCAACCTCCGCAAACACCAAAGTGCCGAAGGTCGTTTAAAGGCTCATCAAGTGCAATGAAAAAACACTTAGGTTTATCACTAAACGGATCCAACCCAAAAATAATAGAGCAACCATTTTCCTCCCGACCCAACCAGTACAATATTCCTTGGTGAGGAAAGCCAAGACCATTCAAAGTAATGGCTCGTGGGGACGATACAACTGCCTTCCTCCATTCACCAGTCTCGGAAGAGAAAATGTCCACTTTCAATTCGAAGGAAAAATTATAATAACCCTTCTCCGGAGGACGAATTCTCACAACCTTGCACCTATACGCAGCATTATGCTGCATGACATCTCCTTTCTGATCTTCGTGTTCGTCTTCCTTGTAGTTATAGCAGGGGGTATCGCAGATGAATCCCACTCGTACCTCAGAGTGGCGGTGTACGGTGTAAGTGGGAATGCAAGGAAGAGCAACCCATTGCATCGTGCCTGGATTGCATATGCAGTAACGGTTCAGGTTTCCATAACACAACATTAAGTCATTATATGTCGCTACAACAGTTGGGTTTGTCCAAGGATGGCATCTCAGTCCTACCACGTATTCCCTTGCATATATCAGGGTGCGTATTATGCGTCTTTTATTATCACTTTGGTGACGTAGATAGTGGTCAACAAAATAAGGATCGGAGATGAGGGTGAACCAACGCTTGCACACGCACTTGCATCGAAAAATTAGTTTACTGCAAGATAGTCGACAAAGTACTTCAATCAATACAGCATCCGGGAGATCATCAATCTTTATCGATTTCCATGGTTGTCTTCGTGACAAGGACGACGGAGAGCTATTGCTTCCTCTCATGGCAGAACAAACATATGCGATTGGATATCTATTGTTTCCTGTCAATACCAACTTACAAAATATGAAATAATAAGCAAACAGACCGAAAAGAGACAGAGATTTATACAAGCTTGTTTCTAAAGTTTTTGAATTCCCTACTCGAATAGGATACTTAGAACTCCTTGTTTTTAAGAAAAAGAAAGGTGTTTCAATTCCCTATTTGAATAGGACACCCAACGCCGCCTTATTTTGCAGTACGTTTTATTTATTTATTTTAAAACTGAATTAATTTCTGAATTCTTAATCGAAATATTGGGGTTTCTAAGTTAGAAAAATTTACAGGCAATGTTGAAATTGAGGATTTTACCTGGTAAAGATTCAAGATCGGATGGATGATTTTGATAAGCACCCAAATAGAAATAGCATAAAAGTAAAGACTAGGAATCACACCAGAAATGCAAATGGTCTTCTATGATATGATTCGTTGTAGTTCAAACAGATGAAACGTTGTGAGGAAACGTGTGGGATACCAATACAACTAAAACAGAAATTAGAAAGCATATTACCTATTCCAAATTTCAGGGGCGGAGCCATTGTATAGATAAAGCTTTGAAACCATTTATACGTTGTATGGGTATGGGGATTCACCGATACGACAAAACTCCAAAAATTAGAATACGGGTATGACACCGATATGATGATTAAAATAATAGATATTTAAAAAATATTAAAAATATCAAAAATAAATATTGCATCCATCATGTTATAATCATCCATCGTAAATTTAAAACATAAAATTTAACACAAAATACAAGTCTTCATAAACAAAACACAAGTTTCCATAGGATTGTTCAAACCATAAAAAAAGCAACACAAAAACAAATTAAAACATTGAGAAGCCACTTCCCAAATCTCTAAGAGCACCTCCAGCGCAGGGCCTCTTGCCCTGGCTAAAGGCCACTTTGATGGGTTTTGGACCTCCAGCGCAGAAGAAGTAGCCCGGGCAAGCCCTGGGTCCCACCAGCCTGGGCAGATCGTGCTTAGGCTTCAGCCTGAAGGCACTGACGTCAGCGAATAAAAAAAAATTGAAAAAAAAGGAAAAAAAATCAATTTTCTTTTAAAAAAGAAAAACCAAAAAATTATATTCGTTTCATCCTATATTTATCCTTTGTATATTATACATACATATATAACCAAACAACTTTTAATGTGCTTGACTATGGTGCTGTTGGAGATGGCCAAACTGATGATTCTAAAGTAAGTGCGTCACATTTCTTTTCGAATATGTGAATGTGGGTGTGCGCGCATACGTACTTTTTTTCTTCTTAATTTTATATGATCGTCTTATTTCTTAGTCATAAAAATTCACTGATTATATATTTGCATGAAATTTAATTAGGCTTCCTAAAAGCGTGGAATGCTTCATGTGTACCAGTAAACAAAACATTCCTTTTGCAACCTATCCAAATTTCAGGCCCCTGCAAATCGAACTCTGTCCATGTTGAGGTAAGAAATCAAGCATAAAAAATAATAATAGAGAGAGAAGTAGTTTTTTGAATTTCACACACGATGCTTAATTGGGTGGATATATCATATATATATATGACAGGTTTTGGGAAAAATTGCGGCACCCAACACTCTGGATGCATGGAAAGAGTGTGGAAAAGAATCATGGCTATCTTTTTTTCATGTAACCAAACTCATCATCAATGGAACTGGAGAAATCAACGGGAATGGTTCACCTTGCTGGCGCAAACCCATATTATAAATGTGAATATGAGGACTTCCTAGGAGGTCTCAATATTAATTATGGATAATTGTTTGCAGGCTCTACACTTCTCCAGATGTGACAACTTTTTCATTAAATCCATACGTCAAGTACACATATCAAGAGTCTTTTTTGTTGAATAAATGATAGTTCACAATGGGTCGTATATGAATAAATTAATGACAGACTGACACATCATTTGGTTAACAAAACTTGGTGAATTTTTTTAGTGCATATATTTGAATCAATTAATTAATAACAAACAAGTCATGACTACTAATCCAGTTCCAACAATAAAAAACAAATTAACAAAGCAAAGCCAAAACAGAACATGCCCACCCTTACCCTATGCAATCCAATTCAACTCAAAATACATCCAAAGTATACGAGTAAAACTTCCATGCAATATGTTTCATACTTTTGTAATGTAAAGGATATAGAAAAAGAGATAAAGAGAAAGGTGTATTGAACATGAGAATACGTAGGTAAGTTTTTCTCCCAAAATATTTTATATCCTCAGATTTTTGCAAACAAAACCATGCTGATACATAGGGAGGGACTAAAGCCTCAACTCAAGGTACCAATTCAAAATTTCAGCTTTGGTTAATATCCGGAGCATGATATATAATAACTGAAACTCTCGATCAAAATTAAAAAAAAAGAATTACAGAAACTCAAAACATGGAGGAATAGTTGAGGGGAAAAACATACTGCAGCAAATTATCACAAGTCCACGGCTAGAAAATATAAATACAGTTTACTCATCCATGGAGTCGCTGCTGCTAGTTTCCTCCGCCATGGAGTCGCTGCTGCTGCTGCTCTGCTGATCATGTTGTGGTAGTGTAGGAACTGGTGTCGGCCACCATGGCAGCACAATTGGGAAGGGGTGGTGGGAATATTTTTGCAGCCTCTTTTCTTTTCAACCATCTTTTTCGACCACTTTCCTGTACGAATGTTGTACATGACAACATCTCCATCCACAAATATATAGAAAACATCCTCATCCTCATCTTCAACTTCCTTATTGGTTGGATGGAAAGGTAGCAGCCCAACACACAATTCCTTATCCGGATACATATTCTGGTCCAGCGGATAATCCATGAGTTTACTCAAACACAATTTGCCATCTTCTTCTTCTTTCAAATCCAAAATAACCAGACTTGTCTCATCCATGCCACACAGCCGCATGCAACCTCCATAAGCACCAAAGTACTGATACTGAAGGTAGCATAAAGGCTCATCAAGTTCAATGAAACTACACTTACCATTAACATCACTAAACGGATCGAGCCCAATTACTATAAGGTGATCATTTTGATCCGAATCAAAATCCGAATCCGAATCCAACCAATACAACTTTCCATTGTAAGCAAAGCTAAAAGGTTTAAATTCATAATAATAACCTTTTTCGTCTGGGAATTCTACAGATCCTTCTCTCCATTCGCCTGTTTCGGAACAGAAGATCTCCAACTCCCATTCGTCGTAGGGATATTCTATATCTGGAGGAAGAATTCTCACAACATTCCTGCATGCCATGTCCTTTCTCGTTGTTTTCCTTCTTGTAGTTATAGTAGGGCCTATCGCAGATGAATCCGACTGCTACAGATCCTCCCTCAGGAGCATTAGGAGGGAGAGGAAGAGCAACCCATTGCATGGTGTATGGATTGCATATGCAGTAATTATTGCTGCTATAATTGTTTCGACAACACAGAATTAAGTCATTATATGTCCCCACAACAACTGGGTTTTCTTTGAAAAAGTCCAAACTCTGGAGTGTTTTCATGACAGGAGTTAGCGCACCTTGGACGATGGCAAAATTCCGTTGAGTTCCTCTGCATCGCGGTCTATCAGGGTGCGTATTATGGGTGCTTTCTTATCACTCCGGTGACGCAGAAAGTGTTCGATAAAACAAGGACTGGAGATTAGAGTGAACCAATGCTTGCACACACACTTGCATTGAGAAATCAGTATGTTGCAAGACAGTCGACAAAGTATTTCAATCAATACAACGTCTGGGAGATCATCAATACTAATATTTTTGGATTTCGATCGTCTTCTTGGTGAGGGTGACCTGGACGACAGGGAGCTACTGCTTCCCTTCATGGCAGCACAAAAGTGTATATGATATTGGCTCTACCAACTAGAGAACACAGAGATTTAGGGAACACCAACAAACAAGGGAAGGCTCAAGTATATATAGGATAGATGTGGTGCCCTGAAACCCTAAGCTACTACAAAGCAAAAGGGCCACGTGGGCTTTTTAAAAAAGAGCCCATACAAATCGGCTTCTCAATCTCAATTTAAGGCAATTACTTATAACAATACATATAGAAGCGTACATATTAAGGGAAACTATGAAAACTAAATCAATAAATTTAAAGAAAAGGAGACTGTAGTTTGGAGTAATTTTTATTTATTTGTTTAAAGAACGCAACGAATTTTTGAACTCTATTGGGGTGTTGAATAAGTTAGAAATTTACTGAAAATATAAATAGTGTTGAATAAGCAACTTTTTTTTGGTCGAATTTTGAAGCAACATTGAATTGTAGTTGCAGAGGTATCGAAGAAGAAGAACCAGGCAGCCGACCTCGGGGGGTTTTTACCCCGCATGTCTCACCTTTTTACTTGTTCTTTGTAATTGCTCTTAGTGTGTTTTTTCCTTTGTGAGCAAGAGCTTGTTTGTGTTCTTGGCTTTTGTGTGTGACAAGCTTAAAAGTGACTTGGGTGTAATTGGGATTTGGGTTATGAGAGATAAACTCTTTAATTCCTAGATTAGGTGAGAGTGCTAATTTCCACTGGTTGTAATCTCCTTTGGGATATTATTGGAATTTCTCGCCGTCTTAAACTATATATGAGCTGAACCAGTATAAATCATTGTATTCTTTAGATTTCTGTATTTACATATCTTAGTTTTGTTTGTTTCAACGGTTTCATATATTCCATCTTGTGAAATTTGTTTCCGCCACGCACAAACAATGTATGCGGACCATGCCATGGAATTAAAGAAAATAAACTGAAGAGGAAGAGAGATGAGAGACAGAGGTGAAGAATAATTGCATAGACCAAGATGATCTGTTCTTGTATTATCAGCTGTATATATATTGTACACGGGTTAGACTTTCTCAAGTCTATTTACAGAAGGTAAGTAATATAAGGTAAGTATAATTAATCTCATATATTACAAAATCAATTGTAAACTAATTCCTAGCTGGGATGAAGTTGATCTTGTGATGGGGAGTCCGTCAATGCTGATTTAGTGGGATCGACTGATTTCATGGAATGGGCTAATTGTTTGGAATCATGATCTGCATCATGATTCTCTTTACCCTCCCGCAAGCGCAACGGAGCAACACAAAGATTAAGCTTGGATTTAAGAAGAGAAAACCGATCACGATTAAGACCATTAGTGAATATGTCATCAAGTTGATGAGAGGAGGGAACATAGAGAGTATGAAGCGCTTTCCGAGCAACGAGTTCGCGGACAAAGTGATAGTCAATCTCAATGTGTCGTGTGCGAGCATGGAAAATAGGATTGGCAGCCATATAGATTGCAGAAATATTATCAACATATATGCATGGTGCAGAATGAAGGGGAATGCCAAGTTCACGAAACAAGTAACCAAACCATCGGATTTCAGCGGCAGTGTTGGCAAGAGCTCGATATTCGGCTTCAGTGCTAGAGCGAGAAACAGTAGACTGTTTCTTGGCAGTCCATGTGAGAAGATTAGGACCGAGAAAGATACAAGCACCAGTGGTAGAGCGTCGATCATCAACGGAACTAGCCCAATCAGCATCCGAGAAGCTCCGTAAAGTGAAATCATTAGACTTGTGAAAAATGAGCCCTTGCTCAAGCGTGCCTTTAATATACCGGAGAATGCGCTTGACAACCTGAATATGGGAAGTGCGAGGGTTGTGCATAAACTGACACACCTAGTTGACGGCAAAAGAAATATCAGGCCGTGACAAGGTAAGATATTGTAGGCCACCCACCATACTGCGATAGGTGGATGGATCAGGCAAGGGATGACCATCCATACAAGACAACCGAGTGTCAGAGGGCAATGGTGTAAGACATGATTTGCACTCAGTCATATTAAACCGTTTCAATAAATCAACCGCATACCTTGTCTGAGAGAGAAACAAAGTGTCAGAAAACTGATTAATTTCCATGCCTAGGAAAAAATTGAGCTCACCCATTCTTCTGCTGTCGAAAGTGGAACATAATGTATCAATAAACTGATGGACACTCTAGGGTTCAGACCCAGTAACAATGATATCGTCCACATACACGAGAACATACATCATTCAAGAAGAAGAGCGGCGAATAAATAGGGAGGCATCAGAGCGGCTGTGAACAAACTGCTGAGCAAGAAGAAAGGTACTAAGGCGTTGGAACCAAGCCCGGGGTGCCTGTTTGAGGCCATAAAGAGCCTTATGAAGGCGACAAACAAATTGAGGTCGAGAGGAATCATGAAAGCCAGGGGGTTGTTTCATGTACACCTCTTCTTGCAAGTACCCATTCAAGAAAGCATTGCGAACATCAAGTTGCTGAAGCAACCAATTATAAGAAACAACAATAGATAAAATAGTGCGAATAGTGGCTGGTTTGACGACCGGACTAAATGTTTCTTCATAATCAAAGCCCTCTTTTTGATTAAATCCATTGGCAACAAGGCGAGCCTTATATCGGTCAATCGAGCCATCTGCTTTCCGTTTAACTTTGAAGACCCACTTGCATCCCACAATATTCATAGATGAGGTTGCAGGAACTAAGGACCATGTATGATTTCTCATGAGGGCATCATATTCATCCTTCATTGCAGCTCGCCAGTGGGTGGATTGGGAAGCCTGGGTGAAACTCGTGGGTTCAATGGACATGGGATCAGAACACTCGGCAAGTAAAGCATGAGGTAAGGGATGAGAGCTGGTCTTAGAGTAGAGTGGTTTTGTTTCAGGACCGAAAGGAACGATGGAGTTGAGATACTTGAATTTTTGTGGAGGGTTTGGTGTATCTGGAGAATTGGGAAAAATAGATGGGTCAATAGGTGAAGAAGGAGGAGTTGATCCAGAGGGTGGGTTCGTGAAAAACATGTGTGATGAGGTAGTGAACGGTGATGGGTTCGTGGAGTTTGGTGATGGAGGGTTTGTAGATTTTGGTGATGGAGAAGCCGATTCAGAGGGTGGGTTCGTGGATTTTGGTGATGGCGATGAGGAAGGACTCACAGGTGAAGGGGTTTGTGGGTCAGATGGAGAGGAAATCGCTTGGGGTGTTGTATTGTGTGAGAACAAGCCAGGCGGGCTAGAAGAGGTAGTGGACGGTGATGGGCTTTGGGGAGTATTATTTGCTAAGGAATTTGGAAGTTGAATTTGTGGGGAGTAGGTGCTGGGCCCTAGATCAGATTGGGTTGTAGGTGTGGGCTGAATGGTATGAGGGAGAGAGTGAAGTCCACTAGAGGGCAATGAAGATGTATTCTGGGGCTGCTTGTAAGGAAAACTAGTCTTATCAAAAGTCACATTCCGGGATATATAAATGCGACCTGAAAAGGGATCAAGACAACGATAACCTTTATAGTGATCATCATAACCAATAAACACACATGGAATAGATTTAAAAGATAGCTTATGCTTGTTGTATGGCACCATGTGAGGAAAGCAAGCACACCCAAAACTTTTGAGAAATTTATAATCCGGTGGATGATGAAGTAATTTCTTATAAGGAGATAAGTTGTCAAGCTGAGGAGTTGGTAAGTGATTGATCAGAAAAACCGCAGTTGAGAAGGCTTCAACCCAAAAGCTAGAGGGCAAACGAGATTGGGCTAGCAAGCAGAGGCCCATTGCAACAATGTGACGATGTTTCCTTTCCACCACCCCATTTTGTTGGGGAGTGTATGGACAAGAGATCTGATGCGAGATGCCATGATCACTTAAAAAATTCAGGAATAATCTGCTGGTAAATTCACCGCCACCATCAATCTGTAACTGTTGGATTTTGGAGCTAAATCGATTTTCCACCATTTTTTTGAAGGGAATAAATGTTGTAAGAACATCTGATTTCTTAGCCAAATGATATAACCAAGTGAATCGAGTGTTATCATCGACAATGGACAAATAATAACAATATCCAAAATTTGAGGAAGCAGGTGCAGGGCCCCACAAGTCAAGGTGTAAAAGTGCTAATGGAGATTGAGCATGAAACTTTCTGTATTCAAAAGGCAATCGACATGATTTTCCCAATGGACAAATATGGCATTGTTTATTTGATAGAAGTGTACCATCAAGTGGTAAATGGTACTTATTCAACAATGTAGAAAAAATTGAATGAGATGGATGTCCAAGTCGTGCATGCCACATGTCCTGTGTGGTGCGCTCTCCATAGAGTGCAATCTGACGAGCAATATGCGAGGCTGTCTGAATATGATAAAGGCCATCAGAACTACTGCCAGTAAGGAGTACCATCCCCGTCTTGTTATCCTTGACACAAAAACCATTAGCATCCAACTCAAAGAAACAATCATTATCACGACAGACACGTCGAATAAATATCAAATTTTTCCAGATTGCAGGCACACACAATACTTCATTAAGTTCTAAGGACTTATGCAACCCAGTTAATTGTGTGTGGCCAATATGTGTGATTGCTAACTGATTCCCATTTCCAACAGCAATTGTATCAGTACCTGTGTAAGGTTGGGCATGTGGTAGAGAAGTTAGGTCCGCTGTCATGTGGTGGGTAGCACTAGAATCAAAGCACCAATTGAGATTCGCCACATCATGAGTAGATTGAGATGGAGTTGAGGTATTTTTTGCTATGTATGCATGAGGTCTTCGATCTGGGCAGAAACGGGCTATGTCGCATGGTTTATCACATCTAAAACATATGACATTAGCTCGTTGGGTATTTGGGGAATTTCCATGTGGGGTTGCAAGAAGTGGAAGGCGTCCATCAGTAAGAGTTGCAGAAGAAGGAACAACGGAAGTATGTTGCTGGTCGTGAGACTGAGTACGGCGATCTGGAACCCAATTCCCTTTGGTTGATTCCCAAGGATTTGCTCTCCCTGATCCACGTCCATTGTGTCCTTGATTCCAGTTTCTGCCGCGCCCGCGTCCTCTCCCAGAACCGTAGGAATGAGTTGGATTGTGACCAGTGGAGTTTGGACTAGAGTTTCTCTAGTGGACCTCCGATCAGCAGCCATAGCAACCCCTGAAGCAGCGGTGAGAGACATTCTTTTCTGTAAATGTTCTTCCCTTAAAGCTAGATCATAGAATTTATCCAAATCAATATCTGGATGCAGGTGAAGTGTTGTGGCTAACTCTTTGTATTCAAGACCAAGACCATCCAGAACATAACTGATGAGTTCATCATCGTCCATTGTTGCACCAGCTTGTGTGAGGGAATCAAAGAGTGATTTGGCATAATTGAGATAATCAGTCACTGTTGTGTTGGTGTCCTTTTTGAGAGTGCGAATTTGGTCTCGAAGAATCCGTACACGGGTACTAGCAAAAGGTGAGAGGCGCTTGGCCAACATGGTCCAGGCCTGATGAGCAGTGGTACAAGGGATGAGAAGTGTCTTGATGGAAGAAGAGGAAGTCACTTTGATCCAACTCAGGACCAGTTTATCCTTGGCTAACTCTGGGTGCACAGATCCATCTTCTTGCACTTTGGGTGGGTTTGTGCTGTTCTTGACGACTGCTGCAAGGCCGTGCATCTCCAATACATCTTCAAATTGGGATTTCCAACTCAAGTAGTTGGTGCGATCCATAGGAACTGGGAACAACGATGAGATATTGAAAGAAATGGGCAAGGGATGAGATGAGAATTGAGGTGAGGAAAGTTTTGACATTTCAGAAATCAGTTTTGACATATCAATATTGCTTGATTCTCCAGATTTAGGTGTGGTGGCCATTGGCTTGGGTAGGATCGATATTTTGAGGGTTAGCTCCGAAGAGCTCTGATACCATGAATGAAGTTGAGGTTCCACCCCAAAACCAATTGGCAATAGGGGGAGTAGCCCAACTCCTTATAAGCCATTGCTAGGTTTCTCAACTCTCCAATGTGGGACTCTTTACCTTCACATTCTCACACGCCCCCACATGTGTGGCGAATTTTCAAGCCTAACACGTGGATAACACATTTTGGGTAACGTGGAGCACGTGTGGCCATTGGGCTTTCACACGTGGGCAACCCGCTCTGATACCAAAGTATGTCGCAAGATAGTCGACAAAGTATTTCAATCAATACAGCATCAGGGAGATCATCAACACTAATATTTTTCGATTTCGATGATTGTATTCTTGGCGACGATGACAGGTAGCTACTGCTTCCTCTCATGGCAGCACAAAAGTGTACATGATATTGGCTCTACCAACTAGGGGCACACCAACAAACAAGAGAAGGGTAAAGTATATATAGGATAGATATGGTGCCCTGAAACCCAAAGCCACTACAAAGCAAAAGGGCCACGTGGGCTTTTTCAAAAAGAGGCCGTACAAATCGGCTTCTCAATCTCAATTTAAGGCAATTACGTACAACAATACATATAGAAGCGTATATATTAGGGAAACTATGAAAACTAAAGTCCAAGGATACTGTCAAAGTCATGCTTGAGTCTGGTTCGTTGATGCTCTCGAAAGTTGCATCAAAGTCAATCCAACGGTTGGGAGTATATTTGATTTACAGATAGGTGACTTATTTCTACATAGAGGAGTGGGCTAATATTTAATTTCTCTAGATTGGGCTCGTACAATTAAGCCTAGTCTCTAAAATCAGCATTGGGATGGAGCCCACCTCAGCCCAAACGTGGATCCCCCTATGGCTACCCAACTTAACCATACTATAAATGTAAATTCGTGCATTAATTATGTCACACCCCAGACTGAGGGTAAGGTAAGAGTGTTGTTAAACGAACTCTAAAATTAACTGAGTACACTATACTACCAAATTATTTATTGAATTACTAATTTATTCAATATTAGAGCTCCCCATTTCATATTAGAGCTCGAAATTCAACCATTAATCCCAATTTTTGAAGAAGATCACCAATCTGACTGGTTCACAACGTAATTAATAATCCATCCCGCATATACTTCCATGATGGCAACAAGCTGCGAGTGCGATAGGTGGGAGGAGATGAATGCATGGGATTGAAGTTGTGGAGCATTTTGTTTAGGGTAAAATTCCCTGTAATCGGTGTAGGTGTTGGAGGAGGCTTGGTTGTTTTTATTATTTGAAGTGCTGCTCATTGCAAATTATTGCCCTAACAAACATAACCAGAAGGAACTGCAAATATCGTGTATTCTTTTGTCTTCCGTATTTTCTTCTTTTCATTTCAAATCCAGCTAACACCTCTATTTTACTCTCTCAAAATTGAAAATTATAGAAAAATAATAAGGGTTTTAGCTGACACAGCTTATAAATTATAATGGGATTGAGAATAAAATGATTTCTACAAGTTGAGAGTAGAAAGAAAAGCGATGGGATAAAATAAATAAAAATGGGGTTTTGAGGGTTTTGTGGACTCTCAGATTTTTGAAGAAGAAGAAGAAGAAAAGTAGATATCCTTTTGGTAAAAATAAAAAAAATAAAAAATTGATTTATAAGCCTTGTGAGAGTTTTTTCGTTGAATCCATTCACCGAATGATGTGTATGTCAGAGTTTTTCTAGTTTAAAATAAATGATGTTCACAATGGGCCGGTATGTAGTTTTTAATAAATAAGCCTATTCTAACATTTTATAAAAAAATTAAAAAACCTTCCGAGTCCAATTCTTTAGAGAACTCCATGTTGTGCTTGAAAAATTTATAAAATATTATGAACCAATTAGAAAATGATAAGTGGCTAATTGAGGTTACTTTTTCTCTAAATAGCCTCTTTTAAGGGTTTTTGTATAAAATGTCATGTCACAATCACAATGGGTCTATTTATGAAAAGCCAATAAATTAAGGACAGACTGACACATCATTTGGTGAACAAAACTTGGTGAAATTTATTTACCGCGTGTAGTAATTTGGTAAACCAAGCTTGGTGAAAATGTTGGGTTGTGTATAACACTTACTTTGTAAATTAGATAAGATGCAAATGGCCTAATGGGCGTTTACTTCATTTGTGGGCTTGAACATGATTTTATTGGCAATTGTAATAAAAGAAATGACTCCAAAAAACAAAAAAGAGAGTAATTTTTAGTTTATTTGTAACCTCAGAAAGTAGGGGGAAAAAAACACTAATTACTGTTAAAAAGGCAGCAAGTATTGTAACTTCAGAAAAGGTTCCTATTTGACAGTAATTATCATCAGTAAGTAGCATTAGCATCTTTAAAAAGTTGCATGTCACTAAATTTCCTAAGAGAACTCCCAACGGGTTAGTTTTGCCAGGGCGAAAGGGAGCATAGGCTAGGTTTAAGCTCCCCAGCAATGAAAGGCAGCCCGAGCAAAAATGGGCCCCATTTACCCAGGCAAGCCCAAAGGCAAGAATTGCTTGAGCTGTTGCATGGGTTTGCTAATCTCATGCTGACATTACCGTGACATCATCAACCAATTTAACTACCCAAAACAAAAAAACCAAAATATTCAGAATTTTTTTTTCTATAAATACCTAGCCCTGTATTCACTTTCCACACTAAAACTCCATACAAATTTCTCTTCTCATATCTCATGTGAATAGTGCTTGCCTTCACTTGCCATGACAATGAGTGAAAAAGCAAAATAAAAAAGAGTAGGGCAGTCACTATTTACGTAAATAGTGTTTGCAATTACTTGCCCTTGCCCTTTGCCATGACACCATGGGTGGAAGTGCTCTAAGGGATAACAATTCAAGGCTTATAAAACTGTCTCCTTACATTCTTACCACCTATACTTGCATGTCGAACTTCTTGTAATATGTATAACTTGGGGTGTATACCAAGGAACTTCCTCTATCTAATTTGGAAGTTGAGGGCCCTTATGCAGAAAGCAAACATGAAGGCAAAGAAAACTGTGAAGCCAACAAGAACCCCTGCCACAGATCCCATGAAATTTGGATCA